GGATGATCGAATCTTTCCCGTCTACATCCCAAATATCCTTTATTCTGAGAACCCCCCTTTTCACCCAACCTTTCCAAGGGGAGTCCGAACAATGCAGGACTTGACCCCTATAGTTCACTATACCTCTGTTCCCAAATAGGGGCAGTCGAGCTACCTAATCCCATCTTTTTGGTTGGGGCTTAACCGACATAGGGAGTTTCCTCCATACCTTTAGGAGGGTCGGCCATAAAGGGTCATTACGAAGGTTAGAACTCACTTCTTGCCTTGGTGTGTTGGTCCGCATGGGATCTTGTCGAGAGCATTGCCTTGGAACTGACGATTCCCTATTCTCGAGCAAAGTGAGCGGGTTGATGTGGACCGGCGTCTCCGCGGCCAGTCTTGCGATTTGCTCTAGGGTTAATTCCTTCTATGGGATGTGTGGGTTGAAAAGCAGGCATTTAAGCCATTGAATAACCAATGTCTTGGTTTGTGATGCTGGGTCTATTATTCCGAACCCTCCTTTCGCTTTGGGCTGAATTATAGCCTGCCATGGTCTCCTCGCCATAAGAATGTGGATATTTGTCATTGAAGGGGGCATAGATCGTCCTTGTGTAGCCCTCAGATGAAAGACCTATACCAACGGGATGCCAGAACAACGTTGTTGATTATGAGGGTCCTGCCGATTAAAGAGGTATGCGTATCTTTCCATAGTGCTAGCTTCTCTAGTGGGGGTTTAGAGATCCATCCACTGTTAGCTGGTGACCTGCCATTTGTCTTCAAGGAAACTCCCAACACACGAATGGGGGCCTCTTGGGGAAGCCATCTGATTTTCAGCTGCTCCGCAGGTCTCACCCCTTCGAGGTGGATCCACCAACCTAGAGTTTTGTTCCCCAATTAACTCTTATGTCAGATAAAGTACCGTGTGGGTGACGCTGTCGCTTCAACGGGTGAAATTGCGCGACACCGGGAGGTCTGAACGGGTGGGGGGGGCGCTCAGCGAAGCCCCGGACCGCCGGAAGGATGGTTCAACAGCTGCATTTTTTGAATACCTGGTCTGTTGTGCCGTTGTGCTACTCATATGCTGTGACCGAATGTGCGAGTTGCCGTTGACGATCCCCTTCCCCGTCTGTTGCGTCGTGCCGCCATCTCCGTGTCATTGCAAACAGAACAGAAGTGTCATTGGGGGTGTTGGCAGGCTTGGAGACAGGATAGGGAGGTGGGGGCAGGCAGAGGACCGGAGACATGGAAGACGAGTGGGAAGGCCGACTGTTGTTTTTCGTGCTTGCTGTCATCCAGTGGCTGAGTCGGCGTAATGTGGCAGCCATGGCTGTCCTCGAGGCGGCTGCTATTTTGCCACAACGCGACAATGAATTGGCCATGGCCATGACAATGCTTGGAGGCGTCGTTTGCCATAGCCTTTCTATGTTGTCCGCGTTATCGACCGGTGTAGACGACCGCATGCGGGGTAGGAGGAGAGTGTGGGTGGTGGAAAGGAGTGGTGGTTTGTGGAAGGACCTGCAGCGATAAGGACTACGACATGACAAGGTATTCAAGAGGTTTTGCCGGCTCCCCCGTCCGCTTTTCAACGAGATCGCGCAGTGGATCGGACCTCATATCCAACGAGCCGTGACGACTTGGAGACAGCTATTGCTCGCGGAACAAACGTTTGGTTGTGCGTTGATAAGGTGGGCAACAAGAGGATATTACAGGCAGTCCGACCATGGTCTGGGAATGGAACTTGCAAGTGCCCTGCGGAGCAATAAGGACGTCGCTGACGCAATCATCAAGGAGTATTCGAACGTGGTAGCTTTTTCGAAAGGTCGTCGACTGCAAGACGTCATGGACGCCTTCGAAGGGAAGGGCTTCCCTGGCTGTGTGGGTGCAATTGATTGCACACATCTATACATAGAGAAGCCAAAGAAGCAGCATGTTGCGTGCAACTACGATCGAACAAGGCAATTCTCTGTCATCGCGCAGGTCGTGTGCGATCACGAGTGCCACATTCTTGACGTCTTTGTCGGTTATCCCAGATCCTGCGCTAACATTCGAGCACTCAAATTGTCCAACCTCACTAGCGACTACGACAACGGCGTGGGTATCCTACATGGAGGACCAGCCCCACTTCATGACGGGAGCAGCATTGACTATTACCTCCTCGGCGACGTCGGTTATCCTTTGTTGTCATGGATCATGACGCCGCATCCTACCAACAGACCTCGCAGTCCCAAACAGGTGGTGTTCGATGACATGCACACAACGGCGAGGAGCTGCATAGAACGTACATTTGGGTTCCTCAAGGCGATTTGGAGGAATTTCGAACGTCGCCATATCAGCAATTTGAAGACAATTTGTAAGGAGTTCATGGCCTGCTGTATACTACACAACATCTTGTTGGATCATAAGGTGGATATGAACGGTTTGGCTGCGAACGATAGTGACGATTCCGACGACGATGACTAGGATGATGGGCGTCGACGCCATCGTCGAGCCGAGCCGCCCCTGCAAGAGGGCAACGCCACGGCTGAGCACACAGCGGAGGCGTACGACTTGGAGGTGAACAAGGCAATCAATGGAAGGCTGGTATGCCATGTCGCCCATCACGCAAGAGTGCATGGTCCCCCGGAACCAAGTCCGTGGTTGTGACACGTGACGGAAGACTGTTCGCCGCGGCAAGAGCACGGTGTGTGTGTGTGTGTGTATGTGTGTGTGTGTGTGTGTGTGTGTGTGTGTGCTGTCTCTTATACACATCTAGATGTGTATAAGAGACAGACGCAAGAGTGCATGGTCCCCCGGAACCAAGTCCGTGGTTGTGACACGTGACGGAAGACTGTTCGCCGCGGCAAGAGCACGGTGTGTGTGTGTGTGTGTATGTGTGTGTGTGTGTGTGTGTGTGTGTGTGTGTGTGTGCGTGCGTGTGTGTGTGTGTGTGCTGTCTCTTATACACATCTAGATGTGTATAAGAGACAGGGTATGTGGAGACATAGATACATGGATAGGTAGATTCATAGGTAGATTGACGCACGTAAGTAGAAGGGGAGGTGCAGAAGATGAGTTGGCCCATGTTCATGACGAACCCAGATATCAAACCTTCTTCAAAGTGACGTCGTTTGCAATCGGTTTTCATTGTCTTTCGCAGAAGGAAATTTTTGTTCGTCGTTTGACATTCTGTTTCACGAGGAAGGATAAACTCTCTGCATTGAGTTTCTTTCATCTCTTTTTTCAAGGATCCTATCGTGTATGCCTCTCACATTCCTTGTCGTCAATTCCAACCATAACACGAAACCTACAAACAATGAAATGTTAAACGATTTCAAGCAATGATCAAACGAAGGTGAGGGTGTTTTCGATGATGATGGGAGACTTCCATTCGCAGATATGGAAGACAACCGAAAAAGAAAAAAAAAGAAAAAAAAACAAATAAAAAAACAATAATAATAATAATAATAATAATAACACAACGACACGAAACTTCAAACCGATTAGAAAAAAAATGGTGTCATTTGGAAGAACGGTTGTTTTGTGCCCCATGCTCATGGAAACAATGGGCAATGGCGGGACTACGGAAGACTCTTCCTGACAACACACACTCTCTCTCTCTCTCTCTCTGTCTCTCTCTCACTCTGTCACACACACACACACACACACACACACACACACACACACACACACACACACACACACACGAATGAACGAACGAACGAACGAACGAGCGAACGAACTAATTAACGAACAAAGATCACCCGCTCAGCATTGCCAAGTAGAACTGTCTATCTGTCCATACGTATGGAGGTTTCCCGTTCATGAACCGCTGCTGGATACTCTCGAACAAGGCTGCTCAAACCTCCACGTGTGCAGAACTCACAGCGTGAGTCCTCAACTGGCCTGGCCCCGAAAAATAAGTCACCAACGACGCAGCAACCGTCGATCGTCCTGCGGACACCATAGTTGAACCGTGCCGTGCAGGTATGGCCTTCCAACTAGAGGTGGATCAAGGATGACCCTGTACCAAGGGCTGTCATCCATCCTCCCATCGAATTCGCTGGATATGGCAGACATGAGATGTTGCAACATGTCCCCCACGACGTCTATTTCGCCTCCCACCCACATGTTGGGGACAATGGGGTCCCTCTTTGTCGCGAATAACTGGAGTTCGCAGAGTAGTCCTCGCCCATCTAGACCGAGGGCCTCCATCACGTCCATCGCACGCCTGCCACTCACGACAACGTCATAGAATCGCACCTCCACTTCGACGACAACATCGCTGAAATCCAGCTCCCTGTCATGGGGCCCGTCTCTCGAAGATCGCCACTCGTAAATCTCCACTTCGCGGCCGACAACCCACTCCCGTACGACGTTGACAACATCCATCTCTCTCTCTCTCTCTCTCTCTCTCTCTCTCTCTCTCTCTCTCTCTCTCTCTCTCTCCCCACCCCACCTTGAGCGGTGGAATATCGAAACAAGGGGAGTGCGCCCGTGCCAGACTCAGCGGTGCCAAATTGATCCAAGATCGTGTATGCCCATCACTCCACCGTTGTCAACGTTCCCCACTCACGACGGTCACAACATGAGTGACAACTTGTATCAGAGCGACTGTTTACTCTCTCTCTCTCTCTCTCTCTCTCTCTCTCTCTCTCTCTCTCTCTCTCTCTCTCTCTCTCTCTCTCTCTCTCTCGGGAAAGGAGACGAAACAGTGGACACCGGACGACAGATCCTCCATAACCCAAAGAGGGTCTGAAAAGACATTCGCAGGGGGGAAGAAAGCCGTGTTTGGTATGTGAGGTCGCTGTCTGACACCGCCAAAAGTCGTATGGGAAAGAAGAAGACAGTAGGTGACCCGTCCCAGCAGTCACGCAGATGTGGAACCGTGGAACGACAACACGGGGTTGAAAACAAAAGGAAAGTTTGACATACATATATCGATATAAAAAAAAAAAAAAAAAAGTTTGACAACGAACAAGGAAACAGGGCGACAGATGCACCATGAAATGAACCCCCCGAGTTCATTCCATGGTGCATCTGCCGCCTTGTTCCCTCGTTCATTTTCAATCTTTTTTTTTTTTTTTTTTTTCCCCTTTGTTATATCATTTGAAGTGCGCCTTTTCCAAAGTTGTTTGTGACGGTGTGTGTGACATTGTGGTCCTCCATGCACGTATCACCGGTTCGACGGACTGGCGTCGTTGGGGTCTCCACCCCGCATTCCGGTCCCCACTCCTCGGTGTTCGGCCATGATGCCAACCAACAGTTGCAGTACAACGTTTCCCTCCTTAATAGCGCTTGCGACTGCGCCAACGTGGGTTGCAACCAGCTTCACACCCTCTGTGCTTGCCCGGGCAAGAGTGCCTGCCGCCATGTCCATCCCTTCTCGGACCGCCATACTAGAATCCAGCACAACTCTCTCCATAGACGACACTGGCAGGTGATCACTAGCACAATCTTTGCCCGTTGCCCCACGCCGTTTCTTCGGCAAGCCCTCCGATTTTTCAGCACTTGCACCACTACGGCTCCCGCCTTTTGACGAGCCATGCCCACCGGGTGTTTCCTTATCGGAAACACCGCTTTCAGCAACCTGCAAGGTTGATGATGCCATGGTATTGTCGCAAGCGACTGACAACTTTCATTGTGCCCACTCCATCTTCTCCGACAGCGGCTGCGGAAACGTCATCGGGATTCCCTACCTTTTCCTGTCTTCGACGCTCATCTCCCAATATGAGGGTTTCCCTGACGCGTTACACTTGTGTAGGATGTCTTTCATCTTGCTCATGAGGTCGTACCACTTTTTCCTGCAGTCTTCTGCCGACCTGATCCAACCTGCCACCTTCATCTTCTTGGACACCCACTCATTCCTCACTGACCTTCTCACGTGCTTCAGCCGACCTGACGCCATTTGCATCATGGCGTCATCCTCCTTCATGAACCTTGCCAGATCAATGCGCTTCTCCAGCAGCCATGGCCTGGTTCTCCTCCTCCCCAGCACATCACCTCCCTCGGGCTGCGCGGCGTCATTACCTGTATCCACTTCACTGCCACTTTCAGGCACCCGTCCCCCAACACTGCCCCTCCCTCTTCCGCAAGCCTCTCGTCCACGTGCATCCGCCACTGCCGGATGTGACTCTTCTTCCCCGCGTGGCACGGTGGGTGATGGATCGCGCCCCGGCCGCACAACGTCCAGCAAGTGGGGACTGCATCGGTCATCCATGTCTCCATGGTCCCTTGCTGATAGGGACGCACCGACGCCCTGCCGCATCCTCTGCACATCTTTAACGATACCACCCCCAACAGTGCAGAGGTTCGCCCACGCCCTGTCCACAACAACGGTGCGTAAGTGATCGACCAAAGGGGGCTGCATACAGGCGGGAGCTGGAGGAGGAATAAAGGAGGCGCCTTGGGAAGGTTGCAGACTCGGAGCCACCAGAATCTGCGTACGGTCAACGGGGCCATGTGCAGTTTCACCCACTGTTGTCGAAGGTGGAGGACGAATGCACGTACCAAGGTCCGGAACTGGTCTGGGTGGTGCATCCATTCTAGATGCGAAGGTAACCTGGAGACGCATGTGCGCGGGTGATTGAGTGGCATGTCGAGCCCAAATCTCCGGGTCCGACGTCATAGACAACAGGCCCATGGAGAGTTGGGCTTCGAAACCGAGGTTCTCGTCCTGCATGTACCCCGGAAACCGGCTGCGTGGCCCTCCCGAACCAGGTATGTCCGACGCCCATCCGCTGCCATCCATTCCTGCGACGTAAACGCCTGCCCACACCGCCTTGAGATACACTTCCGATGCAACAAAATGCAGAGGCCGACCAGTAGCAGGACAAGGAAGACGAACAGCGTCACCACGATGGCAATGATTGCACCTATGAAGAAGAAGACGATGGCCACGATGATATTCGACCACCACTGACAGACGTGGACTTTAGGCATGTGAACACAGAAGAGGTTGGTGCGAAGCATGTCTGTGCACGAAAGCAACGACAAGACGAACAGCCCGCCTGTCGTCCGTCCCAATTGCATCTCCTCACCACCGTCGGACTGAACAAAACCACACGTGTGGAAGGAGAATGACAGGTTCGCGCGCTCACCCCTCCTTCGCCAAACCGCATGAGGGAGGACGCCGAGGAGCCAACCACCCGGGCCGACGACAACAGTGTTCGTTTGTCCACATGAAGCTGATGGAGATGGTCGCACAAGCAGCGGGAGAGAAACTGACTGCCAACAACCCGCCTCACGTCGCTCGCAGCCTTCGCCATTCTATCAGGGATTGCGATCTTGGCGCAAGCAACAGGATGGTAATTGCATGCACCCCATGAAGCTCGTCGACATCCCTCCCACAACGTCCGCTGGCCATCAGCAAAAAAGGTGGGGCTTGAGCCCACCCGACTCCATAGCCACGTAACCGAGCGACGCATGGATCACATGCACACGTGCATGGCAACCACAAAAGACGAGAATGTGGGCAAAGGACCGTCGATGGCAGCACTTAACAGCAACAAACATTGCACCGTCTGGATGGGTATGCTCTCTACAGGGACGTAGAGTCGCCGGGGCCATGCTGTACGAGCCTCGGAGGAGCATGACGATATGCACGACACACTCGGGGCACACATCCACAGGTGCCACACACGGCTCCATCCAAACACCCATGGACCCGTGTCCCCGGACACCTTCATCCACACCCGCTGTCTGACCACAGCGCCCCCCCCCC